GGGCCTAGACCCTTCTTCAGAAATGGGTCTGAAGAAGGGTCTAGGCCCGAAACGTCAGCTTTCCTGCTCCTCTGATGCTGCTTGGCCTGCTGTGTTCATCCAGCTCTCCACCTTGTTATCTTACAACATCTGCAGTTCTGTCGGTTTTTATTCTGTTCAGATGAGAGTCCACCACCCTTTTGAGCTGCCTCAAGACTACAGATGCAGCTGGGACCATGTACCATGTTTTTAACAATCTGGATGGCTTGGCCATGAATTGGACATCCATAGACGCACAACACTTAAGTTCTTGTGGCATCATACATGCTGCTTCTCCAACACCCACTCTGGTCACACCAGCAGTTCCAACCCTCTTTTGCTCTGGTCCTGATAAAAGATAGACAGCTTCACAAAGAGTTACAGTGACCACTCAGGTCTACCAACAGGAGCTGCATGTTTTAATTAAGGCTGAGCAGATGGCAGAAGAAATGCATCAGCAGAGCACACCACCCAGGAGTTGGCTTGTGTAAATGTCTCACTGTGGGGAAGATGGAAAGTAGTCACCTGGGCTGAAAGCACTTACACTTATTATATAAAAAGGAAAAGAACTGCGGATGCTGTAAATCAGGAACAAAAACAAAGTTGCCGGAAAAGCTTGGCAGGTCTGGCAGCATCTGTGGAGGAGAAAACAGAGTAAACGTTTCGGGTCCGGTGACACTTCCTCAGAACCGTTCTGAGTTCTGAGGAACTCTTTATAGATATCTTTATAGAAACGTGTTTATATATGATATGACACATCTCTGGATAGGTGGGACTTAGCCTGATCCAGAGTTAAGGCCACTACCACTGTGCCATAAGAGCCTTATTCATCTTATTTCATACCCTAAGGAGTTAATTAGTCCATTCCATTACGAATCATTTGAACCAGTTAACCAGTTACCAGGGAACATAATCAATTTTTAATTTGTCCTACCATCTGGTATTAGTTCCTAATCAATAACATTCAGAATCATAGAGTCGCTGAGTCATATAGCATGGAAAAAGACCCTTCAGTCCAAATAGTCCATGCCAACCATGTTCCCAAACTAAACTAGTCCCACTTGCCTGTGATTGACCCATGTCCCTCCAAACCTTTCCTTATTCATGTACTTATCCAAATGTCTTCTAAACATTGCATCTGTACCTGTATCCTCCATTTTCTCTGGCAATCCATTCCACACACAAACCACCTTCTGTGTAAAAAAGTTGCCCCTCGTGTCCTTTTTAAATCTTTCTCCTCTCACGGTAAAAATATGCCCCCTAATTTTGAACTGCCACATCCCATGGAAAAGACCTTTGCCATTCACTTATTTATGCCCCTCATGATTTTATAAACCTCAATAAGGTCACCCCTCAACCTCCTACGCTGCAGTGAGAAAAGTCCCAGCCTTTCCAGTCTATTATTATATCTCAAGCCCACCATTCCCAGCAATATCCTGGTAAATCTTTTGTGAACCCTCTCCAGTTTAATAATATCCTTCCTCTAACAGGGTGACCAGAACTGCACACAGTATTCCAAAAGAAGCCTCACCAATGTCCTATACAACCTCAATATGATATCCCAATTCTTATACGCAAATGTCTAAGCAACAGAGGCAAGCATGTGTGACGTAAATTTCAAAGAATTATGTACCTGAACCCCTCGGTCTCTCTGTTCTACAACAATACCCAAGGCCCCACCATTAATTGTGTAAGATCAGCCCTTGTTTGTTTTACCAAAATGCAATACCTTGCATTTACCCAAAATAAACTTCATCTGCCACTCCTCAACCCATTGACCCAATTGATCAAGATCTCTTTGTAATCTTAGATAACCTTTTTTCACTATCCACTATACCACCAATTTTGGCATCATCTGCAAACTTATTAATCATCCCTCCTAAATTCTCATCCAAATCATTTATATAAACGACAAACAAAAGTGGACCCAGCACCAAACCCTGTGGAACACGGCTGGTCACAGGCCTACAGTCCGAAAACAACCTTCCACCACCACTCTCTGTCTCCTGCCATAAAGCCACTGTTGGGTCCAATTGGCAACCTCACCCTGAATCCCATGTTATCTAACTTTACTAATTAGTCTAACATGCTGAACTCTCACACAATATTTCTTATGTACTGATGTTTACCCGTTCAATACATTTGCATACAGTTACAAATATACAAACTAAGATTGTAACAGTTAGGGTCACATGGTGCAGTGGTAGTCTCCTTTCATTTGGATTCAAATCCACCTTCCCTGGAGCTGTACCATACATGCCAGAACAGGTTGATTTTTCAAAAAAATGGTTACAGATGATCGCTTAGAGTCTGGTCTATAGTAATTAAGACTGTATCGACATGTATTAAAGTTGCAGAATTTGGTTTAATTCCTCCACAATGTATGATTTTCTCACACTCTATTTCACTGCAGGAAACAGCACACAACAAGCTCCCACAAACAGTAATGTAATATTGACCAGGTAACTTTTTTTTATGAAATTGAATGAGGGATAAATATTGATCAGGACACTACTCTTCTTCTAATAATGTCAAGGAATCTTTTACATTCACCTGAAAAGGCAGTCTGGGCTTTGGTTAAATGCCTTGTCTGAAATACAGTACCTCTGACTGTGCTGGGCTCTCCCAATGCTGCACTGGAATATCAGCCTAGATTGTTGTGCTCCAGTTCTGGAGTGGAACTTGAAGCCACAACTTCCTATCTCAGGTAAGACTTCTAAAAGCTGAGTCAGTGGTAGCTCTTGAACCTCAGCAAGAGTCAGCACGTTCAGGGGAGAAAGGGAGAAAATGAAAAAGGCACAGAAATGCAGAATGAACTGACAGGCTGTAAAGTGATATTGATCTTGTTCAGATTGTAACTTAATATTGTTGCAGGTTGCCAATATTTTGCTGAATGGAGTGAAATATGAAACTGACTTGAATGGATCAGGGGAATTATCGGAAAGACCTCTCTCCATATCTTTCTTGTTCTCATCAATCTGTCACATGCCAAAA